ATCCAACTGTTCTATACTGGGTTTGCAGGCCTCAGATTGTCCTGTGTTACAGATATTAAGAATGGTTAATAAATGATGGATTAATTTACAAAATTGGGATAAAGTGATGTTCGGTGCTACAAGCTCAATTTCATTTTCTATGAGCATTTAATATCCAGTGGATGTTAGCTAATATGTGGTACACTAAGAAAAAAACAGCTATAAAGAAAGAGCTAGTGGTATAACTCAAAAAATATTATTACTTTCCGAAACATCCGCTTGTTTAAAACTGGACAAGGAGATACTGCAATCATTCATACTTTCACTACCAATAATCATCATCCTGTGTCTGTATGAATATAGAGGACAGCTTTGTTTCTTGCGTCATTGGATTACATAAGGGCCACAGACCTTACCTGGGCCTGCCTAAGCACAGTGATGACATCAAAGAGACTCATTCATCGCATAAGGCCACTTGTTAGACCTACGCTGACAGCCACTGGTCCCTGCTTCTCACAGTGAAAGGCAATTAAAACCGCTTTGAAGAACAGTCACTATCAGCAGTCCACATAAAGGTGGTGAAGGACTAAAAAAAAAAGGAACAAATTGTCAGTTCTACACACCACTGGGATGCTTTCGATCTTAACATTTACCAAATGACAAAAAATGGCAACCTTCAATCACAGAGCAGCAACTGAACACAAAAAGATGATTTAAATCAGTAATCAATATGGTTGGTGGTGAGGCATGAGTAGCGGCCACGGTAAAAAATATATTCCCTAAATGCAACGATGGACTGAATACACATTGTCATGTCCAAGTAGCTCAAGGGCCAGTGCTAGATTCCCCTTCACAGATTCCAAGCTGTCTGCTCCCAGCATGCCAATCTGTCATGTCCTTGTTCACATCCTGCCCCTCATCGGATGCCCTGTTCCCAAGCTTAAAATGCTTCCCGATTTAGCCCAACCTGGGCTTGTCGTAAGCAATTATACACAGAGTGTGAAGAATGCCAACAATGACAACATAAACTCAGCAGGAGATCCATAATCTACGTGGCACTGTCTTCATGTGCAACTCAACTTTAGCAATGTACAATTCCCTCGGAAGGTGAGAAAAAAAAATAGTTACAAATGTACAGGGCTTAGCAAACGGCGCTGCTCGTTTCTTGTGTGCGTAGGTGAAGGTCAGTGCAGGTGGAGTTAGTCATGCGTGGGTCGTCCTTCGTGGGGCAGTGAGCAGGTCTCAGTAAATGAGAGTAGCAGAGGCGCTTAGGGTATATCAAATTGCACTCCGTGAGAAAGAATGCTCCCTAAGGTCATAAATCAGAGATGGGGCAGAATTTCGCGCCTTTCTGCAGCTCAGCAGGCCTGTTTACACTGACGCAAGTGGCACTCAATCGACAGCCATTAATGCCCAGCTTAAAAGAAGTGCAAGTGTGGACCTAAAAATGTATACTCATGAAACAAAAGATGTCGTGCGCTAAATCCTGGTAAATGGCAACCAATTTAACAGCACCTAAATAGAGAAATCTAATGTAAACATCAAGACTCATTAAATCTGAATCCAAACATGGTCCAACATTGAATACTTAAGTGTGGCACTCATAACCTCATGTTCTCCCCACACCAGTCTCTTCTATTTCATTAGACTTTATCGCACCGTTGTTTGTTTTACAATTGTGTTAAGTGTTAACACACCTCAGTGTTATGTCCAGTCCAAAGTGTAACCACTTTGAAAGCAGAGGGCTCTTGGACTAAATAGTTTTATTGTCCTTCACTAAAGTAATAAATTATTCCTGAACAAATTCCTGCAGGTAAAATAAATATCATAAACTGGGGAAAAGTATCAACAGAAGGGTTCTGTTTTGGATCAATATGAAAGGACAACAAGCCCAGGAAAACAAGATGTGGACCATAAATTTGAACACAATTTCCTCAGCAGACCTACCAAAATGAGGAGCCCCACAAAACACACAAGCAAGGTGTCCAGGAAATAATTCATGACGGCTGGTGCAAGGATTTGTCAATTGCATTGACACAGACACCAATAACTTTTTAGCCCTGTTAACTGCCCTCATGTTGTTAGGTCACGCAAAAATAAACACAGGAGACACAGCAATGGCTGCTTTTAAATGTATTGTTTACACTGAATTAGGAGGTGTATAATGAAAGAAAACGTGCTCAGTCTAATTTTAATCTGTGCACATCATGACAGAAATGAAAACACCAAGTGAACATTAATAGGAAAAATGTCTTAGTAAAGAAAAAAAAAGCAAACAAATAAGTGTGCTAAGAAGCTGCTTGGAGTCTGTTTGTGTGTTTTAGTATGTGTGTGTGCACGTGCTTATGGGAGTTCCTGTGTGTAAGAGGCTTAAGTGTGCTCACGTAAACAACAAACGTGCAATGTTGGTCAAGAGAACCTGTGTGGCCAACTTGCTTAGAGCCCGCAAGGATCATGCTCTAATTTGTACAGTAACAGGAAACAACATCTTGGCAGACTAACTGACTAGAATAACCTCCACTTTGCAAATAACACAAACAAACCAAAGGTCTTCCCATATAAAGATACTTGCTGTGCATTAATGAATATGTGTAAAAGGCTTAAGGCAGAAAAGTTGAAGTGGTACCAGTTAAAAAAAAAAAAATAATCTACCCTGAACCCTTTAAACAGGATGTCGGAGATATTGTGTGGTGTTTGATTTCTTCCTCTGCTCAGCCAGCACCCTCCATCATTCCAGTGGCCCCAGTGACACTCCCTTTCTAACCCTAGCCCTATCTGCTCACAACAGGAAATCATGACTCCTTAAAACCCATCCTGGACTAATCCTGGCGAGAAACCAAACAACGCATAACCATCTTCTAAAGCTCTTCATCTCTTAAAAACAATTATTTTCTTCTTCCTCTGTTGAATAACTGACTTTAGACTGCTACTGTTTACATGCAGCAGATTTTGTTTCTTTGAACTGTATTCAACTGTAATTACTAATTAAGTTAATTTAAGCCTTAAAATAGATCTGTTGGAGTGCTGTATGAGAAGTATGTATAAGAAAATGTTTTTGAACTACATGTTGCACTGGATATCCCTAAAAATGTTTTGTTAAATTATATTTTTTTTACCTAATTATCAGTTGAAAAAATAACAACTTTACTAATGGCATTAATGCTGCTTAATGGATAAATCAAGATTACACTTGTGTATGTGTTGCTGCCCATGATGTGGTGGCCACTGGTGCAGCAGCAGTCTGAGGCCTTTAGGACTTGAGGGCTTGTAGACGTAGTGGGGCTGAGAGGACCCTTATCCACAGCCTACTGATCCCCACTATCAGGTTATCCCAGTGGGGTTTGCCTGATAACACAGTCTTGTAGATAACAGCAACCCAGGTCCTGGACTACTCTGGGCCATGCTAACATTGTTAGCTACTTCATTACTCCACTGGCTACTGGCCTATCACAAGGCCGTCACAAGCCCAGTGGCACCTTACCAGCTACGAACCCCCGGCAATCACTACTGTCTTACGGCCAACAAGGGAATCATAACAGACTGCTGTCTACAGGAGCCAGACCCTGCATTTGGCACATTGAAAAAACAAAAACAAAGGGCAGTTTGTCTTCACAAATTGTTAAAAATGGATGAACGCTGTTTGTCCTGAGAGCTTGTGCTTCATAAAGATTATGACAACAAACAATGAAAATATTCAATAGCATATGAATTTAGGTGTTTGTAAAAAAACATTTCTCTTCTCTAACAAACCAACTTATTTCACAGTTTTTTCTTTTATACCAATATTTCATGTTTAGTTTTCATGCTCTGTTACATTTAAGTGTATTTAAGTAGTTCACTTTATTGAGAATGTTAATTCAAAATTCAATACTCAGGTCAATTCAATTATGTAAATAATGATTTAATTCAGAAAGTACAGTATCAACCAATTCTGTGTCCATCAAAAAATACAATAATAGGTGAACAGCAAAATCAATATATTAAATATGCTTTTAAATAAAAAGAGACCCAAAAAATGCATACAATATACTGAACACCGAATTTAAACTGTTTCCATAAAAATGTTATAGTACACTACTTAAGAAATCTAAAAACTACATATCAACTGTTCTAATTACCAAAAAATTGACTGAAACAAATGAAATAAATTCCCACTTAATTTGTGTATCTCATTTTAGTCTCAGCAGTGAGTATTAACAGTAGCAGTACTAAAAGTAGTTGTAGTCATACAGTAGTGAAAACAGTGGCAGCAGTAGCAGAGTGGTTACGCGAGGGGTGGGTGAATGTATATGGTAGTGGGTTTTAGACATACCACTTTAGATTTGCGTGTGTAGAAGTTTTGCACGGCCCATTGTTTTTAAATAAAATGTGTGGTCATGGTTTACTGAGCCATTCTTTTAGCTGACAGGTAACTTCTCTTAATAGAGTGACCACTTCACCTTATTTTAATATTGTTTTAATATATTGTCTTTATTATTTCTCAGAATCAGGAATTTTCAACTAAGCAGTAAAAGTGTGAATGCATGCAAATCTATCTTGCAAAAAATAGTGTCATGACCAGATGTGTTGTTGCCAAGTATGCAGTCAAGCTAATTAGCAGGTATAAGCCTAGAAGAGTTGGCAGGCGTAGTTGCAGATTCCAAAGTTGGAGCTTCGATACTAATGGAAATGCTGTGTCACCTTAAAAAGTGTCTGGATACATTAGTATTGTTGTTGTTTGTCATGCTTGTGAAATACAGCGTATGTAACAGTTTTCAAGTATAGTTATCACAAATAACTAATTAATGAATTTTAAAGAAATACTTATAAAGAACATATTAATTAATAAAGAAAGTATTAAAGAGCTAAAAAGAATCATTTCCCCACTAGAATAATCAAACAGGAACTTAAGTACGTCGAGTAATTAAGAATATATATAAAACCTTTAGATACAAAAATATGTCCCTTTAACAATGTAGAGAAAAATGTCCAATGGTAATTATAGTAAAAATATGGTCAGATAGTAATATTTTGTGCCTCACCTGGTTCCTCCAAAGAGGATGATTCGATCTCCAACCATACAACAGCACTGCCGTCTCCGCGGACATGGGCCTTTCCCCTTTGGCTCTACCTTGTTCCAGGAAAACGCTTCTGTAGTGTGTACACATAAGACAAGAATAAAGGTGAGATAACAATATTTAAACATAATAATAGAAAAAGAAGGGGATAAATAGGGGGTACACACACCCGGCTAACTTCTTTCAAGATGGAAGACTCAGTAAAACTTCAGATTATAACCTTGCCTTAAATAGCTCAACACATTTTGATCTATGTGTGTGGGCTACATCATGGCAGCTATACAAACTCTCAGCCACTTAAAGTTACATAAACATACTAGTGCTTCCTATTGTGCCTGCAGTTCATTCAGCTTTCTGCTATATTTAACCACAAACACAAGGCCCAAGGATAAGGCAATGAAATGGAGCAATGGAAGCAAGAAAACAAAACCAAACCGCCATTTGAACACAAAACGTTACATTTCAGAAATAGAACCAAATCCGCTCGTCGGCTCTGCTGAAGTGCAATTTGAGTGACGATGATGAAAGCTCTCACTTGTTCCATATAAGGATGAACTGTGTACTCTCACACTCTCAGAGCCAACAGCATCATTGCATCTCTATAGCAACAGGCCATTCAGACTTTGTTGGATAATTAGGACTAGGTGGTGCCATCTGGTGGACTGTAAAGCACAGGTTTAAATGGTTAGCCACAGATCTCAGGTTCACCCGGTAGAAGCTTCTCCAGCTGGACACAATTGACCATACCTAGAACATCCATAAAAACCCAGCGGTGTGCTATAAACTGGAAAGGGTAAAGGTTGGTGGGGCATGATTGAACACCATAGCGCACTGGTGCCGCAACATGTTTCACTAGCAATGACATTGGACAAAATAAAACCAGGAAGGAGCAGGGAGAAAATAGGCCACAGTGCAGTTTATTTTAATAACTAATGCATTAGGGTGGGAAATTAACTTCTAGGATGGGAACATCCACCCACAATTTAATAGTAAATCATTATTCTGTGTCTGAAATACAACATCCATAGTGGTAATCTATGTATGGTGCTATTTTAACACCATATAGGACACTATGAACCCTGGGTGCGTTGCTTCAGCTACGACAACAATGCTTTGTTTGGAACAACAGCACATGTTTTTTTTCTGGAAAACGCTTCAAACTAACTTGAGAATCAATCTGGCAACATTTGTATGAGCAGACAAAGACCCCAGAGACTGAATTATTGTCTGTTTTGCATCTGTGTGTTTCTGGCAAAAAGACATCTGTTTCACACTTGGCATAATGAACAGGGAGCAGCCAGCCACTCTCACGAGACTGACAATGATACAATAAGGGAGGAGAGGATTGTCTACACGACTCTACAGACAAATGAGGGGGAAAGTGGGTCAACATGAGGTAGCAATGTCACTGCTGCATTTCCTTTATAGAGTCTTCAATGCAAGTCAAAACAAAAATGACTATGCACAAAAATAAATGACACAACTAGCAGCAGTGCTTTATAGCAACATAAGATGTTTTCCCAATCTGACAAACAGTAAATCACCTGGATTGAATTTCCAGAGGTCATTGAAGTGCCGGTCCAAACGGGCATTGTATCCTCCAAATATATACAGCTCTCCATTGTAGGAAACTAAAAACAGAAAGGAAAACAAAGAATTATCCAATCCGAACCATGTGAACCAATTAAATCAGCTGGATTTGTCTTATCAGACAATGCACGCAAAAAAAACACTGTTCATACTCCCACTACACAAACAACAAAGAAACAAATCATGCATAAGAATAAAACGGGGAAAGGTCACATTGGAAAATGACTGCAGTTGTACGCAAATGACTCTGAAATTGGTTCCACAAGTTTAAGTTCTTCATCATAATGTCACATTATTTCAGACTAATATAATCTTATGTTAGTTTAATGACAAGTGGCAGATCATTAACCTCACTAGGTTACAAGGATGAGAAACACCCAGAGTTTATTCAGAAATGTGCACATCTACTGCCCCGAAACAAACAAGGCTGTCACTTATTGTTACTTTCCATATTGTCTTGTGACAAAATTCTCATATTGAGCTATTGTGACTCGCAATTCTCATCTCTGGATGAATTACATCTTAAATTTGTATCTTATTTGAGAATACTTCATAATAAAAAGTGATTTAGCATACTGGTCAACTAAAACACAATGTAGCTATTTAAAGTGATGAACACAAACGTATTCATCATATTTAGGGCTGGGCGATATGGCCAAAAATGTTATCACGATAAAAACATTTAATTTCATTCGATATCGATAATTATCACGATATGTCAATTAATTATTTCTTAAAAGTTTAAAGGCTGATTCTTGCTCCTAAGTGAAAATTGAAGAAACCAGATGGTTAATTGTGTGGTTAAACCTTTCACACTTGAAGCCAAACAGTGGATCACTTAACAAATCTGAGGTAGAACATTCAAAACTATGATAAAATCTTTTTCAACAAATATGATTAGTAAATCGTTTTTCAGTCCCTTTTCCTCAACAAAAAAAATATTTTTATAGAAAAATTAAAGGCTAATTTGGTGGTGATTCAAATTAAACAAAATATTTATTGACAATATATTGAACGCTTATTATATTGAGGAAAATTATATTGTGAGAATTATCATTATTGTTTTATTGCCTAGCCTTAATCATTGATTTGATGTGTGCTTGTGTCTTACAGGCAGAATGACTCCTGCGTCCCTCTGGCAATGGCTGTGTTGAAGGAGTGCTCAGCCAGCAGTTGGTGTCTGTGTCGAACACTTTAATCTTGTTGCAGTAGATCTCGTTGTTGGAGTGGAAGGGACCAAAGCGGTCTGCTCGCCCTCCAAACACAAACATCTTTGTCCCAATGATGGTGGCTGAGTGAAAATCCCTCCAGCGTGCCGGAGTGCCCTGTGAGGAGAAGACGAGCAGATGATGCTGTGCTTTTACACACTATAAAGTTTCAGTGGAGAGAGAACATAAAGATAGCAAGGACGCTGGCTGTAACCTACATACTGAGGTAAGTACACATTGTGAACTAGTCTTAGTCCAAAGCTCTCCGATGTCTCCAAACTTTCATCATAACCTTGGGTATAAAGCTTTATCTTCACACTGGCAGAGGCTTCTTAACTAGCAACTTTAGGTAAACAGTGCCATCTAGTGGAGTAAGTTAACAACTACAAAGGCACACAAAAGCTGATGGTATCAGTATCTGTGGTAACTAGAGAACCATCAATAAAAAGAAATATACAATAGTGGAATGTGATCGGTTCCCACTGGATGAAACTGTGTCTAACAAAGGCAAGCCTCTACTCCCTTTGCATTTAGCTGGCTTATAGCCATGGTAAAGCCTTTCACATGCCCTCCTTTCCAGAATGTGTTGTCATTGTTTTCCACAAATCTTGTGCAGACAAGCAGGCTCTTTAACTTGCAATAGAAATAGAACAGTGGGAGAAAACAGATGTATAAATGATACAAATACTGTTCAGATTAAAAATGACAAGCGTGACAATAAATTGTAAACATTTGAAATCCCTGTGCTGGAGATAGGAAAAACAAGACTTGGCAGAATACCAGACTTGGGGAAAAAAGTTAACTTTACAGAAAACAGGTTTTGAGTTAAAGCACAGCAGGTAGTTTTGTTTTCCAAAGGGAATGCAGGTCTGAGAACCTGCAGAAAAAAAATATTACACAGTTACATGCACAATTAATCTGTAAGCATCACAATGTAATCTCCTTAATTACAAAACGTTATCAGTTAGAAACTAAAACTAGTTGTTCCTACACTGGTCCCTAGTCCTCCCTAGGGACTGGTGTCTATGCTTAAAATATACTTTACAAGAGTTTATCACATGAGCATAATGGCATTTCGTAAAGGGGAGTGTATATAATCCTCTGTGGAGCTTTTTGTACTTGGCCATCTACCAGGGAGCTGCATTACATTGCAGTGCCTTTGTATCTAGCCAATCTGACCACTGAGCATTCATGTACTAGAACTGCCAAACCCAGTAATAACCAATGGTTTGTTCATTTCCAACAACGTTTTGAATGTAACCGAGCATGTAGCCAGTCCATTCTAGCTTTGCGTTTCTTTCAGTGAGTGCTTTGTGTCCGTTGTTATTTGGACTAGATGATTCAATGCCCAACATTATGTGTATAGGAAAACAAAAATAAAATAAAACACATTTTATTTCTGAACAATTAACAACTGGTGGTTTTGATACTCACTCTGGCATTAATTAATGACCAAACCATGGAGGTGGTGTCCAGCCTGTGGATGTCATTGGAGAAGCAGTCAGCCTATAAAACAGCAGAAAAGATTACTTAAATCCTGTTGTAATGTTCAGAGAGCAAGTCCGACAGTGAAGAGTGATAAAGACTCACCAGCTGCTCATATCCTCCAAATATATACATTGCCTTCCTCAGGACGCAGGCCGAGTGGCCATCCCTTGCTCCTGGAACAGTCCCCGAAATCTTGGGTGTGAACCATCTGTGGGTGTCTATGAAGCAGGAACAGTTTGTTTCAACTCTACGCACTCTTACAAGGGACCTAACCTCTCATTCTCATAACAATATTGACATAACACCTGGGTCACATGCAATGGTAAACCACCACACATATAAGCAGGTGTCACAGCTGCCTGTCACAAAAACAGTTTTCTCTCCCTTTTGTTTTCACGACTTTAACATCAAACAATGCATCTCAAAGGAAACAGAGCCTGAAACTACCACTTAACAGCATGAGTAAGATGCAGGTCTACTTACTGATATCAAAGGCATAAAGCACATTGCAAGCCCCCTCTGTGTCGTTACGCCCACCCCAGAGGTAGATAGTATCATCTAGCAGCACAGCTGTGTGGCCATAACGCATATATGGCACTTCACGGGCACGTTCATGTCCTCCCGTCCTCACTGGAGGCAACTTCATCCAGCGCAAAGACACTGAAGTACAAAACAGTCAAGAAAGGTATATTCAGCAGCAGCATGTAATAAACAAGTTAATTTTCCACTATGTGCCAAATTAACTTGTTTATTACATGCTGTTTTAGGTTTATGTATGTTTTATAAATTAACCACAGGAACATTCTGTCAGAAAAAAGTATAAGAAAAATACTGACAATGTACTAAAGAAAAGGCTCAGTGCCAAAGTAACTATATCCACAATGGTTCAAGATTTTTTTTTTATATTTAAAGCCGCAATAGCAATCAATACAACTACTGGGAGTTACGTAAGCAATAGATTTACATTTGAAAGTCAAAACACTACTATGACAAGATGTAGCGTAGTGTGAAACATCTGGATGAAATCCAAACTGCTTATTAGCCAGTAAAATTTTTTTTTACTACTTCTGAAATGCTCAAAACAGAAGGTGAAAAGTAAAGTGTCTGACAAGACAGGCAAGTAAAGGAAAAAAGTCTATTTAAAAATAATTTAAAAGACAACAGGCTGTAAAACAGACATCAAAGAAAAGGAGCACAACACAAGTGACAACACAAAAATACTGAAACAATAGCCGAGGTGGTCTCGTTTCCATTTCAATCAGCTAAAGCTATCTTTATCAAGGTTTGGTTCCACAGATCTTTTTCATGGTACGGCACGAGTACATAGGCTCAAGCTACTTTAAGAAGTTGTAAAACCCTAAAAGCAGGTGGCTGATGACACAGAGGAAAAAATATATATATTTAAAATGGGTTAGAAGGCAGAAAAGGGTGTGGTTTTATCAAATTTAGAGCAGCACATTTAAAGAAAACACCTGTGTTTGTAAGATAGCACCGAAAAAAAAACAACTAACAGAAAATTTCACAAACCGCAGTGGAAAGCTTGGGTTTTAACTGCCAGCTGTAATCACTTACCGTTAAAGTGGTGAAGGTTCAACAAACTCTGAAACACTCTCTTATCCTTACTCTATAATTTGAAATACAAATACGTTCCTGCTTCATTACTGATGAAACATGGGACATAAAAGGAGAATGCATATTCACCTACTTAGGATACAAATAATTTGTGTATAAACACAAAAGTAGGCAAGTATGAATTCAGGCCATTTTACACAAATATATATACTGGGGTTTGTCCAACGCTTTTCATCGACACATTGGGAGGGCTCTTGAGAACTAAGAATTGTATTATTTTTTGATTTACTAATGCTTTTGAGGTCATATAATTACATAGAGATGAACAACCGATTTCTCAGTTGCACTCACTGTCAGGAGAAACAGCTGAATTCACATTTCAAGATTTCCCACAAAATCCACGGCCAATGGGATCCACCAATATACAGTATATTTACCACCTACCTGTGTTGAAGACATGCACATCAATCTGACGAAGTGTCTCGTAGTCCTCCCCGGAGCAGTAGCCTCCAAAGGAGTACACCTTGTGCCCCACCGCCACAGCAGCATGGTTGACTCTCCGCGGCCCTCCTTCTAGGTGCACCGACCAGCGCAACATTCCACGCGCAAGCACCTCTGTGACTGCGAGTCCTTAGACCATCACTTTGACGTCCGCTTGGATCCCATCAAGCCAACACCATTGACACCTGTGATCACAACAATGACACTCTGCTTAGGAGAGCAGAGGGGCAAACTAGGGAGGGGCAATCGAGGAGAGCACAAAGGGAAAATGTTTGTCCTCGTGGGTGAAGAGTTGCTCAGCTTTGCTGTTGCTGACAGGCTCACAAGCCCCCGTATTATCTAAGCTGGGAGAGTATTTTAAGATGTGATTAGACCTACACCTACCCCTCCTCTGTCTTTCTGTTCACTCGTGTCCCTGTAGCTTCCCACTGCACTACAAAAGTTTTAAATACTTGCAGTGAATCATGTAAATAAATATGCAACCCTGTTTGGCAATAGCCTATCATATCAGTATCATTACACACAAAACTGCTTCAGTTATCTTTTAACAACAGTGACCTTCTGCTGACCAGTGAGCAGCTGTGAAACTGTCATTTGGCTCTATTGACAGTTGGGTTACCATGATTATGGATGGTCATGCAAAGTTCGATGAAAATAAAAGCATGTGTAAAAAAGGTCAGCAGTTCTTGGTTTAATGACAGCTTGCATTTCTACAATACTTCTAGAGGCAGTTTCCATCTCCAAATAACAAAACTCATTAGCTGAAAAAAGTAAAAATGAGCAGGTTAATATTCACTCACTCCCTGTATGCCTTGCAGGAGAAGCCTGCAACTTCTGAAAAACAAGTGAACCTGCCTCATGCTAAACCCAACGTGCTTATTCTGTCTCAATGACTCACTTACTCACTGACCTCCAACCTTTGTTTGCTCTTAAAAATAAACCCCCAGAAGACCATTTAACATAGACCTTTCTATTTAAAGCCCTCATAGCTCTAAGGAGCAACACAGGCCAGATCTAAGGCAAATGTGATGTTTCATCTACCACTTGGTCACTGTGTTGGAGCATACTGTAAAAGCTGCCATGTAAACTGTCAGATCCCACCTGGGGTAACGTGACTCCTCAAAACAGTTACAATGTGAAGGAAATATTTCCCTCTCTGCATAAATTAAGACTTTTTAATCAAAATTTTGAGAACAGGGACATCATTGTGAGAGCTGAGCCGAGTGGAAAGCAGCTTCTACACCCTCCTGCTCCACTGAACAGGACATTGTTGATATCAGATGACTAGCCGTGACACTGACAACTACCACAGTGTCTTTGCAGACACACTATCGTTCTTCACACAGGAACATCGATGTTTACTAGTGCACATGTCTCTGTTGGCGATGTACATTGTGTACGCACAGGTCGTTGACTGATAAAGCTAATCTAGACGCGGTGACATTGAGCTGTAACACCGTTACTAACGTTACAATACAGTCAACGCCTCAAACACTGGCTAGCTGACGTTAGCTATCATACAGGAATAACACACGCCAGTGAGGGCAGCGACTAACCGCAAGGGCCGCTTGTCTCACAACATCAACTTTAACAACAACCGTGTACCGTAAACAACGTCCCTGGATCCAGCTGTTTGATAACAGACTGTCCAGTAGGAGAAGCTGTTGCTAGCTAGGTTAAAGCTAATCAGTAGAAGCTAACTTACCTGATTTAGCTGTTAGCTAGCTAACGTGAACTGAATACAATCGACCGGTAACATAGCGGCGTTTATTTCCAACCCTGGTAAAGTTACAAAGTGGTTAGCTAGCAGACAATAATATGAACGGAGGAATAAAATGTATCTACCTTCAGGTCGAGACGGTTGTGTTAACTGATGTTTAGACAGTGCTAACCACTGACTGGAGCCCCTACCGACTCCCTCGTGACGTGTTAAGAAAAGCGTCCGCCAGCACCGCCTGTCGGTTCATGAGATGAAATTTTCACACTGACAGAATCCTCGTGGATGAACCTCTGAATTTTTTTTTAAACCAAAACTTCTGTTTATTACTCAAAGCATTATTGGCTCAAATACAGGTAACTTTTGATGTTTACACGTTTTTCACTAACCCTAACCCTTTTACATTAATGCATGGGTAATAATAATCTAACTTAATTTTACTTTTAATACTTTATATTTTACTGATTATAGTTGTATACTTTTACTTGTAAGAAAGTACTTTAATAGTGAGGTACTTTTAATTAAGTAAAGGATCTGAATACTTCATCTACCACTGCCCTGGGCAAAATGTTTTTGTCCACTGTTTCTACTACAGACATCTGTCTGCTGGGAAAATGGCCGTACCAAAATCTAATTGAAGCAAAGTGAACCTGGAACTTTTTAGGGACCTGTACCTGCTGATCAGTAAGATATAAATACAGAGTTTAACAAGTGCTTATCTGCTGTGGAAAATAGGACACCAATTTTTACAGAAACATTCATTGTTAGTGGAAGTTGCTAAACAGCAGAAAAAAATGGTGTCAGACAAGACCTTTGCAATGACCTCCACAAGAGATGGGGCTCCATGAACCGCTCTGTCGCCTATATTCGTACTCTGTTTTGAAATTAGTAAATCTATTTTGCTTTGAAATCGATCTGACTCAAGTGTTTGACTGAAGAAGAATTAATCAGTGTGCAAGAGTACCTGAAGACATCTGGCCTAGCTGAAGGTTTTCTCCTATATCAGGGGGTCAAGACCCCCCATGGGGTCCTAATATAAATCTGAGGTTATCCACAAAGATTTCCATTATTTTTCTCTATTTGTACTTGCACTTCCCAGAATTTCTGAGGATTTGAGAAGAAAAAATGTTTTTTTAGTTTGGACTGCTTATAATTCACATCCACATTAAGGCCATTTTCTGTGATGAGGAGTCACAAGTTGATATCGCTCCATTTTAAGGGTTCACAAGTCAAAAGGGTTGCGAACCAGTGTTTTAGCAGACTAAGTTAGTGAAAGAAAATGATGGAGCAAGCTGAGGAAACCTCAATCCCCATTGTTTATGGTAATAAGCCACATGACAATTTCTCTCACACACAATAACATAATTGAAGCACTAGATGGCGCTGTTACACACAGTTTGAATTGCTGAAGAGGTCAGCAGGCTATCACAGACTTGTGCCCAAAATATTTTTAAAAATACGATCCCTACCCTGGTATTATTGGTCAGATAATGTGACCACATGACCCATTTGGTCTGGTTGAGCTGCAATTGGGCAATGCACTTAATAATTTGATAATCTGTGTTGGCTACTTGCATGGCAGCCATTCATGAGGATTTTACAGAGCATGGTCTGTTACCAAAAGCATCCCTGGAGATTACAGTGTTTTAGTGTCAAGTTGTTTAAAAACACTTCAGCATGGTAGAAGCATACTGACCCTGGAACCTGACTTGTCTGGTGCAAGGCCAGTGTATTTAACCACTAAATAAGCCTAATAACCCCATCTTATTCCAGTGTAAGACCGTGTTCAAATTAAGTTCTTAGGTATCTATTTGTGTTTGATATAAAGAAAAGTCCTTCATCTTGCAAGCACTACTTCCAGCTCAATGCTGTCAATAAATAAGAATGTGCTCTTGGGCAGCTTGCCTGGATGAGAGAACAAAATAGCCTTCATCTGAGGTTCATATGACTGACCTAAATCTACTGTAACTGAGGTCCAGGTGAAGAAAGCCAAGGATAAATGTGAACAACTCTGGTAAAACTTGCAATTTTGTAGTATGTGAAACCTATCCCATATAGTGTATTTTACTGGAACCCCTTAAACAGCCCGTTTCACACGTCTAGACTATAAATTTGATACATCATGCAACTTGATTTTGCTACCTAACTTTTAAAAGCATTGAATTACAAAGGAGGGGGTTTAGTGTGATCAACTTGGTTCCAAACGGTCAGGCTGCAGTGAAAGCAGAACCCTGTAAAAGGATTATGGCGCTGAGGAGCCATGTTACAGCTGCCATGGATCTGCCCGTATCACTGCCCAGGTCTGGTCCACTTAGGAGGGGCTTTGATTGATTCATTGTGTGCAGGCATTCCGACATGGTGCCAGCTGCACGTCATACACAATGGTGAGATTGTGCCTGGGGCTGCTCAAACAACAGCTGCCCCTTGGACCTCTGATGGGTGGATACAGACCACAGACGGACACACACTGAAAAGTAGGTTACAGTACATTGTAGGTGCATTAGATTCTAAAATTATTATCACATCAAACATAAAATCATCCAGAGCTTTGTGGCTTGTTGCCTTTGTAGAATCACCATAGATGTAATGTTGTCAGTTCAATAAAAATCCAGTTTTCAAATGTCTTGGTGTCTTAGATACAGATGAAAAATCTTAAATTAATTCTGACGGACTGAACTGTAGATCCTTAAAGCTGTTCACTCAGAGGCCATTTCTCTTACATCACTGCAGTTAGATGTTTGGTTCTGTCTGGAAGTGCACCCAGGAATTTCTGGAAATGCCTTGGATACGTTTATTAAAATGATCACATGTCTGGGACACAGGATGTTATTTGGAGTAATTGTTTTGTTTTTGAGATAGTACATACAAACCTGATATTGCATAATGATATGGGATATAATACACTAACATTATACTGAGGCACGCATACACCTTCCTTTATTATGTTTAGTGGCTGGCCTCAGTCTATAATGTTGGAAATATTCTGCCTATTCATCAACAAAGAGAAAAGGAGTAGCGCTGCCTTGTTTATTCCCACAAATTACACATACAACTGCCATTATATATTAATTCCAATAATTGATCATCTTAGAACCATTTAGAGATTTTCCTCTGCCTCATTCCTGTTCACAGAGGTGACTTATGTACAGTAAGTAGTAGTTGCAAAGAGTTTCTCATCACACAGGAAAAGAGAGTCCAGCCCAGCCCAGTGAAAGTCTCTGTAATCTCTTGCAGTTACGCCCAGTTTGCCATCCCACCTGTCAGCGTTTGCACATATTGCGTCACCTATATGACCCTGCTTTGACACATTTGCTTAGTGGGGGTTTTACAAACTTTATAGCCAACACATATGTTGTCTGTCTGCTGTCATGCCCTGACAAAGAGAACAGGAGTAGACCAACTGCAGAATAGCTCTGCAAGTCAACAACAACTGCTACAACCAACTGTTGTTCGGTATTCATGGGCAGGCCCAATGATGGAAGAGCTTTGCAATGCTTTGTGGCAGAGAAAAACACAGCCTCTGCTTAGAAATGGCTCATTTGGTTAACCTTTTTCTTTACCATGGCTCATAAAAGTCCTAAGTTTGCTGTTATTATCAACAGTAAAACCAACTCCGTGCAAAATAAACCAACAAATGAATGGAAAGGGAAATATTGGATGTTGACATGAAAAACAAGTACTTTTAGTAGTTTTTAGTAATTCAATTTCACAGAACCAAAGTAAGCTGAGACAGTGTTGCTGTGGAGCACAGTCGTGGTGTTGTTGTGGTAACTGCCTCAAAAAATTGTAATACTCACAAGTCTTAAGTCTTTACTGTCAAAGTATCAACTACTACTACGAAAAAGTGCATTTAACAGCTACGGTTTACTGGTACTATATCGTGCAGTGATATTCCCCGGATCTTCAACGTACTGATTTGACTTCCGCTATAGTTGGATTAGGTCAACAGCATTAAGCAGTCCAACATGATGTCATAGAGCATGATCTAAGTCTGTGGCCAGATGATTGAATCATACATTTTCCTTTAATTTGGGGGTTATTAAATGAACAGAGCTCCTCTCTGTGAGTCTCTAAAGAAGACGATTGGTATTTGCCTTAGGTAATTTTCTCACTTATGGTCCATTTGAATTGCTCTGAATTAGGAGTAAAATTAGTACTTTGTAGCAGCTTTTTTTATTGGTTAGGCTATGTTTCCAATTACCAATTAACCAACAAGCCATACTTTATAAGCAAAGTCATGTGGCTGAGCAGGGAGGCTGGTTATTAGATAAAGCTTAAAATCCTAACAGATGAGTGATTTATCATGAGTGATTTATTTATGAGTCAGTATTATCATTTCCACTCAGGTCATAAAAACATGTTTGGGCAACAGTTGGGATTGGTGAGAGTGGGCCTAAACCCTTTTGACAGTTCTGACCTGCTTTTTGAGATGAGACTAAGAAATTATAATACAGAATTCTCTTCAGAAATCAATAAAGAATTAAATTGCCTTTGTAATCTGATTATCTGCCAGTGATTGATTATGCCAGCAATGTGGAAATGATTTTCTGAGAATTATGGTGAGTTCAGTTTGGTGTACAAAAGTACAAACTTTAACGCAAAGTTGAGTGTTTACTAGGCTTCATTAAAACTGCAGTTTGCTCTGTTTTGTGTGCTCCCATTAGACAGACAGGGGAGCCGTTTTTCTTTAGTTTGTTTGTGGCTCTCTCACCTTCACAAATAAAACAAAATTAGGGGTAGGAAATGCTCCTGGGGTTTAATACAACTGCACAAAATAAGGCAGGTGTGAGAGTGCATTTAATCCTCTGTAATCTCATTTGGTTGTTTCCCTGCAAAGTTGTGATTAAACTCTGTTCTCCCACAACAGCGATGTTGTGTTATTGATGCAGTTTAGCTTCTTTGTTGTTTGCATGATACTGATATTTATTGCCATCATGTACAGTGGGATATAATAATTACCATTCCACAGGGTCTTTCAGTTTGACTGCAACAGGCAGCAAGAAGTATTTTCATCTGAACCACTTTAATTATGTGGCTCACTTTCTATTTTTGTCCCAAGAGAGCCCCACCTCCCCCCTCCTCCCCCCACATAGTTGGAGCAGTTGTTTCACAGACTTCACAGCACCTGTTGTAAAGCCAATTGTTATCCCACAGCCCTATCTGAAGACACCCGCACCTGCTCCTATCATCCCCACATGATGCTTGAATAGAGTTTGATGCTCTGTGTTCTTTCTTGTCGTCCATG